AAGCAAGTTTTGGAAAATTGTAAATCCTAGGGAAACCCGATGTAGTCCACTGTTTACAAACCAGGAGGTTGCCTGCCTCTGCGACAGTGATGCATAGGTGGAACAGCTTTTTTTCGACAGTATTCAAGCAGGAGACGCTTCCTTTGCCCCCGCCTCTTTGTGCGCATGTCTACACTTTCATTTACAAATTATCGCTCCCGTCCCACTTTGCTGCCAAGACACTGGAATATCTTCAAAAATTCTAAATAATTCCGCTTCTCTACTTTTTCAGCCCTGACTCACGTATCGTCCCAACAGATTGGAATTTCTTTATCATTTAACCAATTTTCGAATGGGTATAAAATCCGACCCCTCCAACTGCTGTCCTATATCCCTTACGAGCGTCACGTGCAAAGTGATGGAACATGTCATTTTTTCAACTATCATGGAACACCTCGACAGGATTGACCACATTTTTCTGCTTCAGCATGGCTTCAGACAAAAATGCTCATGTAATACTCCCCTCTTTGAATTTATCACTGATTTGCACTTCAACACCCATGCTGGTACCTAGACTCGTGGCATCTTCATCGACTTGGCTAAGGCATCCGATACAGTTCCGCATTGTCGCTTACTACTAAAGCTTTCACACCTCCAAATAGACCCTTTGATTGTAGACTGGATAGCAGCCTTCTTACGTGGCCGAACGCAGTCAGTGAGATGAAACAACGCCCTTTCATCCCAATGTCCTGTCACATCAGGTGTCCCACAGGGAGCATAATAGGACCCCTCCTATTCCTGATATACATCAACGACCTTCCATCTACCTCAACGTCCACCATCAGGTTGTTTGCAGATAACTGTTGGGGACAATCCAAATGAAAGTGCCCGTCTTTTAAAACCTTTGGAAAAAAAAATGATCACTTTCATTACATGAGTTATTCTTTAAACGTAAAAATATACCGCTCAAAAGGAAATTACAACGTCTAACAAAGGTTTAACAACCAAGATCTAAGCTCTCAGTCAAACTCTTAGCCAACGAGAAGTATAGCAGCCAATGGGTGCTAAACGTCGCAGAACACCCACTTTGTAATTCATGCAATTTAAGATGGCTGCAAACTAAAATCAGTCTCACACAATAAATATTGCTGTACAATTTTTTTTGCCCACAGAAGAGTTGTTTTTTCACATGCTTGTCTAAATTAGGTTGTTTAAAGAAATCATTTTTTAAGCAGCCAAAAGCAAAGGACATTGTGATCCTGGCACCTCCGTAGCGGCCTATTCGTTGGTCTATCTCAAATAGGACCGCCGCACTGCTTTGCGGAGGCCGTTTTTAATACACTTTTTACTCGGTGTATTTACGTGGTTATAACTGTTACATGGCTATGCAGTCGCTACACTGCACCTTAAGCCCACTCGTTTATTGCTTTGCGGAGGCCGTTTTTAATACACTTTTTACTCGGTGTATTTAGGTGGTTATAACTGTTACATGGCTATGCAGTCGCTACACTGCACCTTAAGCCCACTCTAGTTTAATGCTTTGCGGAGGCCGTTTTTAATACACTTTTTACTCGGTGTATTTAGGTGGTTATAACTGTTACATGGCTATGCAGTCGCTACACTGCACCTTAAGCCCACTCTAGTTTATTGCTTTGCGGAGGCCGTTTTTAATACACTTTTTACTCGGTGTATTTAGGTGGTTATAACTGTTACATGGCTATGCAGTCGCTACACTGCACCTTAAGCCCACTCTAGTTTATTGCTTTGCGGAGGCCGTTTTTATTACACTTTTTACTCGGTGTATTTAGGTGGTTATAACTGTTACATGGCTATGCAGTCGCCATACTGCACCTTAAGCCCACTCTAGTTTATTTAGTTTATCGCTTCATTGCTTACATTTTTTAAACATTGAGTCTACTTACTCATTAACAAAGCGTTAACTCCGGTGTTCTACAGGGCTCATGTTTTAGGTTCATTAAGTTTCCCTCGTTTACGTCAAGAACTCCAGCAGCCTGCATTTTGTCCCCTGCCTGTTTATTTACACATGACTGAGTTATTTAGCAAAAGATATAGACTGACAACGAGACGAGCTTCTTGCAGTTTGGCTTCGTAAGAATAAATAGCCGACGTTGTACATGGCTAATGGAACTGAACATTGCAAGATGCAAATCAACGCATGTCTCGTTGTAATATGCCATTTGTACTACCCAATACATAAATAACATTGGTTTGGAGTTCATTTGTTCTTGCCAGTAGCTTGGTGTTCACGCAAGATGCAAGTAGGGTGACCACCCGTCCCACGACTCGCGGGACTGTCCCACATTGAGGGCTCGTGTCCCGCGCCCCGCGAGAAATCCCCAAATTTTCAAAATGTCCCGCATTTTATACCATCGTAAAATTCACTCTGCAACTCATGGTGCTACCGAACAACGGGCCACGAAGAAGCGCGGAGGTCGCTGGTAATCATGTGAATCGGAGTGGTACGCCATTTTTGTATCTAAGCATTGCAGAAAGCCACCGTCGTTCTTGTAGGAAGACTGACGTGCATGCGCCGTTGTGCCTCTTCCCTTGGTGGCCAAATATTCAGAAAAATGCTCACCAATAGTTGTGTGTAGTTAATGTGGTAACTATAAATTATTGTAATTATTTCATATAGTTGTCTTAATGCGAAAAGGTTGTTGTGGAGATTTTTTTTAGTGACGACAACCAGACAAGGCAAAAAGCCTGCAACTCACAAAGGTGGAAAAAGAACATAATGTTAAAAATGTGTGTAGGACGATGTTGATTAAAGTAAACGTTGATAGGAAACAATAACCCGTAAAAGATTTACTGTTTCTTAATTTCATTTGATGCATTGAGTTCTGCTGCAGCTGGATTTTATGCCTTCATTAAATAACACATTTGGCATAAAAACATATCACTGGGAGTGAAAATTATTTTAGCTTAATAGCTGCAATACAGTTTCCAGCTCTATAAACAGCACAGTATATTAAATGTGTTAACAGACCCTCGGTTCGTGGTGTGCGTGTTCACAAATTTCCTCTACCCCCTCCCCCTCTCCCTCCCCCCCCTGTTCCGCGTGTCCCGCATTTCGCTAGCAGGAAGGTGGTCACCCTAGATGCAACCTTTCATGGAACTTTCGCATAGAGCGCGTCATTAAGACTGCTAACCGCATGCTTGGTTTCATGACAAGAAATTTTATTCCTATGCCCTAATCCCTTAAACTTCACTTTTTCAAGTCACAGCTAAGATAGAAGCATGAATCTTTTCATCTGGGACCTCGCCATGGAAAACCTAAATTATTTCTTAGAATCAGTTAAAGGACACATGCAAAGAAAAAAAATTTTTTTAGACAGATTAGATGGAAAAAGGATGTCATCAAACGATTTTACAACAAAGAAAAAATATTTTTAGAGCTATATATACGGCGCTATACAAATTTGTAGTTGGTGCCCGCAGGCACCGCGGAAAAGTGGCCCTTTTATCACGTGAGAGGCCCATATTTGATACGCGGTGCTTGCGCTCTTTTGGAAGCTTCCTATGGCCCCTAAAAGTAACTTATTCATCTTTGTTGGAAGCATAAAAAAAAACTAAGATGAATAAGTAACTTTTAGAGCCCAAAGGAAACTTCTGAAAAAGCGCAAGCAGATGTGACAGACCTGTGCGCCGGTCAGATGATGGCAGCAGCGCCTCGAAGCAGACGAACTGGTGCGGCAAAGGCGGTGTGGAGAAACCCGTTGAAGCGGTGTCACACAACGCTCAGCGTGCGGCGGCGGCGTGACTTTGCGGCGGCGCAGTGCGGCAGCGCGCGGGCCTACCACGTGACCAGCGGCTGCTCTGCGGGCACCAACTACAAATTCGGATAGCGCCGTAAATGTAGCTCTAAATTTTCTTTTCTTCGTTGTAAATTTGTTTTATAATATTCTTTTTCCATCTAGCCTGTTTTAAAACAAAGTTTTTTCCTTTGCATGTGTCCTTCAAGAAATCTGCGTGTTTCCTAACTAGCGTCATACTGCTGCTATAAACTCTATGAAACTTTCTTTATAAATAATGAATCTTGCTCTGCATAGACAATCCATCTATTTCACAAAATGAATTGTCATTCTTTAATGAGTCCAAGCACCTGGTCCAAGCACCTTCCCCACCAAACTGCCAACATCCATGACTAAGCAAAATTTTTACAGAAGCTATTAGGTGTTTCGATATTGGATCGTACAATGATGAACCAGGGAATATTTAGTAATTTTTTTGTATAAATATATTTATGTGAAAGCCATGTTCCTGGGAGGAGTATTAAACTATATTCCAACATTTTAGCTATTTTTTTCATGACATGAAATTTAGAAGGTCAAGGTGTGGGGACTACCAAGGTTTCATTATGGTACTCTGCACAGCCATCAAACAAAATCATGCACATAGTAATAACTGTTTCATACTTATTTTATTTAACAGTTAGAGGACAGTTAGAGGATGTAGACAAAAAAAAATATTTCTATAAAAAAATCAATCATTCCACATATTTTTAAAACATTCCAAAATTATTTACCACGAAATAACTTTACAAGCATAAAAATTGGCATCTTTAAAAGCATTTTACAATTTTACCACGTCTAAAGAAATCAGCTTCATTTCTCCCCTAATTACACAACAATAAGATCTGGGTATATATATTTTATATATTTGTATAATGCAGCTGATTTCTTTACATGTAATAAAATTGCACATAATTATGTGAAAAAAAAAGATGTTTATTTTCTGCTAAAATTTTTTTATAAATATTCCAGTCTCTTGAAGTGACTTGGGAGGGCAAAAAAAAAAAGTAAGACACGACCTCCAAAACAGAAAAACGGCAACAGAAGTTAACTCAAATTGTGCTAGCATGACTTTGTTATGGGGGATTTGCCGCGTGATGCCGACTACATAAAGAAATTTTCTAGAATAGGAGAATTTGTTTCGAAGCTGCCTTTGGTAATGTAATCCAGATGAAACATCACGCCTCTTATGAACATCACGCCTCTTGCAGAGTCCCTAACTGCAAAACTGCACCACGAAGACCAAGGGCTTGTGACCGTCAAATAGAAAGGTAAGAATTTAAGATGAAAACAGCGCGCACTTCCTTACACACTCCAACAACCAAACACGACTTACCAGGAAAGCACTTGATGTCAAAGCCAAACATAATAAACACTCATTGAAACGTGCCACTACAAACTCTACAAAAGAAAAGACAGCCATGTCCACATGAAAACAGCTAGCAGCCTTCATGGCAGGTTCTATCTTAAAGGCGAAAATGACCGGCAGAAAAATTTTTGCCAGCCAAATTTCGAAGCTGCAGAGTCCGAACATTCAGTTTTACACAACAGGAGGAACACGACAAGAGAAGTGCAAATGAAAACTGCGTGTGCCACTGCACACAACTCAAAACCCACACACGCCTTGCCAGCAAAGCACTACTGAGCAGTCGTAAGGACAGCTGACGACAACCGTTACGACAGGTTCCAGCTGTGAAACGAAAACGTCTTGCAGAAAGTTTTTGCCAGCCAAATGTCGAACCCTCACAGATAAAAAAATATGTTTTACGCACCGGTAGGAACCCGAGAAAAGAAGTACAGACGAAAACTTTCTGCAACCCCACAGAGAGATCTGATTAGGCGCACGCCTTGCCAGCAAAGCGCTTCCTAGCTGTTGTAAAGGCAGCCGACAACAACCGTTACGACAGGTTCCAGCTGTGAAACGAAAACGTCTTGCAGAAAGTTTTTGCCAGCCAAATGTCGAACCCTCACAGATAAAAAAATATGTTTTACGCACCGGTACGAGCTCGAGTAAAGAAGTACAGACGAAAACTTTCTGCAACCCCACAGAGAGATCTGATTAGGCGCACGCCTTGCCAGCAAAGCGCTTCCTAGCTGTTGTAAAGGCAGCCGACAACAACCGTTACGACAGGTTCCAGCTGTGAAGCGAAAACGTCTTGCAGAAAGTTTTTGCACGCCAAATGTCGAACCCTCACAGATAAAAAAATATGTTCTACGCACCGGTACGAGCTCGAGTAAAGAAGTACAGACGAAAACTTTCTGCAACCCCACAGAGAGATCTGATTAGGCGCACGCCTTGCCAGCAAAGCGCTTCCTAGCTGTTGTAAAGGCAGCCGACAACAACCGTTACGACAGGTTCCAGCTGTGAAACGAAAACGTCTTGCAGAAAGTTTTTGCCAGCCAAATGTCGAACCCTCACAGATAAAAAAATATGTTTTACGCACCGGTACGAGCTCGAGAAAAGAAGTACAGACGAAAACTTTCTGCAACCCCACAGGGAGATCTGATTAGGCGCACGCCTTGCCAGCAAAGCGCTTCCTAGCTGTTGTAAAGGCAGCCGACAACAACCGTTACGACAGGTTCCAGCTGTGAAACGAAAACGTCTTGCAGAAAGTTTTTCCCAGCCAAATGTCGAACCCTCACAGATAAAAAAATATGTTTTACGCACCGGTACGAGCTCGAGAAAAGAAGTACAGACGAAAACTTTCTGCAACCCCACAGGGAGATCTGATTAGGCGCACGCCTTGCCAGCAAAGCGCTTCCTAGCTGTTGTAAAGGCAGCCGACAACAACCGTTACGACAGGTTCCAGCTGTGAAACGAAAACGTCTTGCAGAAAGTTTTTCCCAGCCAAATGTCGAACCCTCACAGATAAAAAAATATGTTTTACGCACCGGTACGAGCTCGAGAAAAGAAGTACAGACGAAAACTTTCTGCAACCCCACAGGGAGATCTGATTAGGCGCACGCCTTGCCAGCAAAGCGCTTCCTAGCTGTTGTAAAGGCAGCCGACAACAACCGTTACGACAGGTTCCAGCTGTGAAGCGAAAACGTCTTGCAGAAAGTTTTTGCCAGCCTAATGTCGAACCCTCACAGATAAAAAAATATGTTTTAGGCACCGGTACGAGCTCGAGAAAAGAAGTACAGACGAAAACTTTCTGCAACCCCACAGGGAGATCTGATTAGGCGCACGCCTTGCCAGCAAAGCGCTTCCTAGCTGTTGTAAAGGCAGCCGACAACAACCGTTACGACAGGTTCCAGCTGTGAAACGAAAACGTCTTGCAGAAAGTTTTTGCACGCCAAATGTCGAACCCTCACAGATAAAAAAATATGTTTTACGCACCGGTACGAGCTCGAGAAAAGAAGTACAGACGAAAACTTTCTGCAACCCCACAGGGAGATCTGATTAGGCGCACGCCTTGCCAGCAAAGCGCTTCCTAGCTGTTGTAAAGGCAGCCGACAACAACCGTTACGACAGGTTCCAGCTGTGAAGCGAAAACGTCTTGCAGAAAGTTTTTGCCAGCCAAATGTCGAACCCTCACAGATGAAAAAATATGTTTTACGCACCGGTACGAGCTCGAGAAAAGAAGTACAGACGAAAACTTTCTGCAACCCCACAGAGAGATCTGATTAGGCGCAAGCCTTGCCAGCAAAGCGCTTCCTAGCTGTTGTAAAGGCAGCCGACAACAACCGTTACGACAGGTTCCAGCTGTGAAACGAAAACGTCTTGCAGAAAGTTTTTGCCAGCCATATGTCGAACCCTCACAGATAAAAAAATATGTTTTACGCACCGGTACGAGCTCGAGAAAAGAAGTACAGACGAAAACTTTCTGCAACCCCACAGAGAGATCTGATTAGGCGCACGCCTTGCCAGCAAAGCGCTTCCTAGCTGTTGTAAAGGCAGCCGACAACAACCGTTACGACAGGTTCCAGCTGTGAAACGAAAACGTCTTGCAGAAAGTTTTTGCCAGCCAAATGTCGAACCCTCACAGATAAAAAAATATGTTTTACGCACCGGTACGAGCTCGAGTAAAGAAGTACAGACGAAAACTTTCTGCAACCCCACAGAGAGATCTGATTAGGCGCACGCCTTGCCAGCAAAGCGCTTCCTAGCTGTTGTAAACGCAGCCGACAACAACCGTTACGACAGGTTCCAGCTGTGAAGCGAAAACGTCTTGCAGAAAGTTTTTGCCAGCCAAATGTCGAACCCTCACAGATAAAAAAATATGTTTTACGCACCGGTACGAGCTCGAGAAAAGAAGTACAGACGAAAACTTTCTGCAACCCCACAGAGAGATCTGATTAGGCGCACGCCTTGCCAGCAAAGCGCTTCCTAACTGTTGTAAAGGCAGCCGACAACAACCGTTACGACAGGTTCCAGCTGTGAAACGAAAACGTCTTGCAGAAAGTTTTTGCCAGCCAAATGTCGAACCCTCACAGATAAAAAAATATGTTTTACGCACCGGTACGAGCTCGAGTAAAGAAGTACAGACGAAAACTTTCTGCAACCCCACAGAGAGATCTGATTAGGCGCACGCCTTGCCAGCAAAGCGCTTCCTAGCTGTTGTAAAGGCAGCCGACAACAACCGTTACGACAGGTTCCAGCTGTGAAACGAAAACGTCTTGCAGAAAGTTTTTGCCAGCCAAATGTCGAACCCTCACAGATAAAAAAATATGTTTTACGCACCGGTACGAGCTCGAGAAAAGAAGTACAGACGAAAACTTTCTGCAACCCCACAGGGAGATCTGATTAGGCGCACGCCTTGCCAGCAAAGCGCTTCCTAGCTGTTGTAAAGGCAGCCGACAACAACCGTTACGACAGGTTCCAGCTGTGAAACGAAAACGTCTTGCAGAAAGTTTTTGCACGCCAAATGTCGAACCCTCACAGATAAAAAAATATGTTTTACGCACCGGTACGAGCTCGAGAAAAGAAGTACAGACGAAAACTTTCTGCAACCCCACAGGGAGATCTGATTAGGCGCACGCCTTGCCAGCAAAGCGCTTCCTAGCTGTTGTAAAGGCAGCCGACAACAACCGTTACGACAGGTTCCAGCTGTGAAGCGAAAACGTCTTGCAGAAAGTTTTTGCCAGCCAAATGTCGAACCCTCACAGATAAAAAAATATGTTTTACGCACCGGTACGAGCTCGAGAAAAGAAGTACAGACGAAAACTTTCTGCAACCCCACAGAGAGATCTGATTAGGCGCACGCCTTGCCAGCAAAGCGCTTCCTAGCTGTTGTAAAGGCAGCCGACAACAACCGTTACGACAGGTTCCAGCTGTGAAACGAAAACGTCTTGCAGAAAGTTTTTGCCAGCCAAATGTCGAACCCTCACAGATAAAAAAATATGTTTTACGCACCGGTACGAGCTCGAGTAAAGAAGTACAGACGAAAACTTTCTGCAACCCCACAGAGAGATCTGATTAGGCGCACGCCTTGCCAGCAAAGCGCTTCCTAGCTGTTGTAAAGGCAGCCGACAACAACCGTTACGACAGGTTCCAGCTGTGAAACGAAAACGTCTTGCAGAAAGTTTTTGCCAGCCAAATGTCGAACCCTCACAGATAAAAAAATATGTTTTACGCACCGGTACGAGCTCGAGAAAAGAAGTACAGACGAAAACTTTCTGCAACCCCACAGGGAGATCTGATTAGGCGCACGCCTTGCCAGCAAAGCGCTTCCTAGCTGTTGTAAAGGCAGCCGACAACAACCGTTACGACAGGTTCCAGCTGTGAAACGAAAACGTCTTGCAGAAAGTTTTTGCCAGCCAAATGTCGAACCCTCACAGATAAAAAAATATGTTTTACGCACCGGTACGAGCTCGAGAAAAGAAGTACAGACGAAAACTTTCTGCAACCCCACAGGGAGATCTGATTAGGCGCACGCCTTGCCACCAAAGCGCTTCCTAGCTGTTGTAAAGGCAGCCGACAACAACCGTTACGACAGGTTCCAGCTGTGAAGCGAAAACGTCTTGCAGAAAGTTTTTGCCAGCCAAATGTCGAACCCTCACAGATAAAAAAATATGTTTTACGCACCGGTACGAGCTCGAGAAAAGAAGTACAGACGAAAACTTTCTGCAACCCCACAGGGAGATCTGATTAGGCGCACGCCTTGCCAGCAAAGCGCTTCCTAGCTGTTGTAAAGGCAGCCGACAACAACCGTTACGACAGGTTCCAGCTGTGAAACGAAAACGTCTTGCAGAAAGTTTTTGCACGCCAAATGTCGAACCCTCACAGATAAAAAAATATGTTTTACGCACCGGTACGAGCTCGAGAAAA